TGGAGTAGTTCTCTGATCAGAAAGATAATTTTTATTCTTGTCTTTCAAAGTGCTTGCAAAATCTCTACTTCATTGTCTGAGTAAGAAAAGTGTTGACTAAAATCAGAACAGACCCTCTGGGATTCCTAAGAGAAGATCTCTATTGAATTTAATGACAACATAGTCAAAGTAATACTTTAATATATTTTTTAACCAGTTGTGCACCTGTGTCATGGTGATTTCGTTTGCACTTTGGTTTTCTCAGTTTGCTTATCAGAATGTTAGATCAAATATTATCAAAACCGTTATAAGGCCATATCTCATCTACAGCTTTCCTTTTTTCTGGTGGCTGAATGTCTCTCAGCAAGGGAAATCAGCCTGTTCTGACATTATTTGCCTTAAATAATCTAACAATCATTATTTTTAGAATTTTGTTATCCTTCAAGGTACATGAAAACATATTGTTTAGTAACTTGTTCTATTTTTTGGATGCTCAGGTTTTTTGCAGTATTTTATTTCCTAAAATGGTGAGATGTGCCCAGAAAACAGCAACAAAGCTGGGGAAGGGCCTGGAGCATGAGTCTGATGAGGAGCAGCTGAGGGAACTGGGATTGTTTAATCTGGAGAAAAGGAGGCTCAGGGGAGACCTCATTTCTCTCTACAACTACCTGGTGTCCCTGCCCATGGCAGGGGGGTTGGAACTAGATAATCTTAAGGTCCTTTCCAACACAAACTGTTCTATGATTCTGTGATTCTATGACAGGACCATGGAGCAAGTTGGCGGGCAGTCTCTTCTCCCAAGTAACAAGTTCTAGTACAAGAGGAAACAGCCTCAAGTTGTGCCAGGGGAGGTTTAGATTAGATATTAGGAACAATTTCTTCACCCAAAGGGTGGTCAGGCATTGGAACAGGCTACCCAGGGAAGTGGTTGAGTCACTGTCCCTGGAGGTATTTAAAAGATGTGCAGATGTGACACTTAGGGACATGTTTAGTGGTAGACTTGGCAATGTGAGGTTAATGGTTTGACCCCATGATCTTAAGGGTCTTTTCTCACCTAAACAATTTGGTGATTCTATGATTTCTGCATAATAACTTTTGTCCAAGGATCACCTTACAAAGCGTAACTCCATCTGCAGTGTGAAATAAGGCTCTGAAACAGGACTTGTCTGTGCTAGTCCTAGTTCTGCAATACTTGCAGTGATCAGATAAGTCTCTTACTGACTCTCTCCCACTGACTCAGTTTGCTTCTCGCTGCTTACTTTCCTCTCAGGTATATTTTGAAGACTAATGAATATTTATAAAACGTTCCGAGTGAAACCTACACATGAAAAATGCAACAGAAGTTGAAAATGCCATAATTACTGATGCTTATTATTTTTTAAAAAGGAAGCTATGTTGCAATCAATATCCATGGAGAATTATGAGCTATAAAAATAAACTGAGGACTAAAGGTACTCCAGGAAATTGTGGCTGGAACAGCTAAACTGAAGGTGAAAATCACTGAGTAACCACTGATGAAGAAAGCCTTGCAATGGCACAAGATGCAGTGGGCAAGTTTTGTTAATAATGCTTAGTACTGAAATATGCAGGGTGAAGTATTTGTATTACAGAAGGATGATGAAATCCTTTTCAGTCTGCAAGTAATTAAAGATGAGGTTCATCATCATAAGTAACATTAATAATTTTAAAGAAGCAGGCTCGGATACTAGCGAGCTCTGACAGAATTAACAGAATAGAGACCTCATCTGTAATAACTCGTGGCATTTCAGTGAAATTTCAGAAGACTCATAGTATTGTGCCAATGTTTAAAGAAAGCAAACTAAACAGAGCAAGCAGGATGACCCAGTAGCTGAGTTATGGTTAACATGACACCAGCCCCAAGCAGCACAGTCCAAAAGCTGGTAGTCAGCCAGGTCATAAATAAGTCAATAACTAGTGATAATTTTTACTTTTATCAACATTGCCTTGTTGCTAAATCCATTTTAATTTATTGATAAAATTTATTGCAAGTCTGTTTCTTACAGATTAGTGCAGCAACATATTTCACAAAGCATTTGACCTACCATTGTGACATTTTGATAAAGATCTTAGTCAAGTCTGGTATCACTAAATACAGAGACATTTCAGTTGTCTGGGCCAGCGTGGGTCCAGAAGCAGGACGTATGCTTTGGGCTGTGATGCACAGCAGGCACCTCCCAAATCAGGTCAGCATTAGCTGGGGATGACTGCAACCATCAGCAACATGGAGCTTTCTTTTCCCTGGCTCACCTTCACAATGATTTTTAGTGTTATTTTTCATTTTGCTTTATCTGAGTTATCCCAGCCTTTCTCTAAGTGTAAAATCACCACTGACAGCATTTCTAAGTGACACAGAGATTGCCTAAAATGTAAGTTACTGTGAGTATAAAGCAGATAGATAGACACAGTGGGCTAAGAAGGTTGGCATAGTCACACGGAGGAATTGTAATACAACCAAGCTCAAAGCAATAAGCCTGAGAGCTGAGATCACAGTTCACACCTCTGGGACCAGGGAGCTGTACAGCGGAAAACAGTAATGCCAAGAAAAAATGAGGAGCCAAGAAAAAATGAGGAATCGTAACACATGGACACTGGAGCCATGCAGAGAATGAGAATGATGCTGCTGAAGTCTGTAGAGAGGCAGGAACATGGTCCTCTCTCTGTAGGTCACCCTTAACACTGCTGTGGAGTATGGCTTTGATTTGTACAATTTAAGAAGGATATTTGTTACTGGAGAAAGGTACAGAGGAGAACCATAAGTACCATTTAAGGAGAGAGGGAATATCTTATGACATACATAAATTAAATAGAGCTGAGATAGAGCTAATTGCTAAGAAGTGGTTTGATGCAGTGTATATGCTGCTGAGCAGAAGATCAATGCTGAATACTGAAGAACTCTTTAACATGACAGGCTTTAGCAAAACACACTGGCTGAAAGCTAAATTAGGGATAATGTTTAACATTGTGGATACAAATTGGACAATTGTCTGTTATTTTGAGTTTTAAATCAAGACTGAAAGTCTTTCTGGGTGATAACTTCTATTTAAATAAAACATTATCTGGATCAATAAAAGAACGACCAAGAGGTTGGGACAATTTCTATGTTAGGGATAACGGAGCATTTCTTGACTTCTTGACTTAGAAAAGAGATCACCTAGAGGAAATGTGGTAGCTCTGCAGAAGCACTGGGGTCTTAAAAGAGTTAAATGGTTTGAACTGGGTGCATCATGCGTCAGTGGGAAAGTTATGAATAGGAGCCAACTGGTGTCAGTCCCTCAGCTGCTGTAAGATCCAGTGCTGTTCAAGAGCATGCAATAACCAGTCTCATGGGTCATCCTGAAACTAAGCATGGAAGAACTGTTTGTTGAGAGTGGTTTCAAGAGTAGTTTAGCCAGAGCAAAGAGGATAAAGTGGAACGGGAAGAAAAAGAGCAGAGACACAGGCAGAAACAATTGTGCTATACTTAACAGAAAACAGGAAGGAAATCTTTGGCATGGTGATAGAGAAGCTGGTGTTGTGGCAGTGAGAGGGGATAATTAATTCCTGAATTTTGAGCCCAGCAAAATAAAAAGCAGGAAAATTTCTGCTCTAATTCAGGTGCAATAAAGAAGGAGAGGAAAGAACAGGTAGTGAAATAAGGGGAAAAGGGACTGTCGGAGCTTTGCAGAAGACCAAATTGTTGTTCTTTCTTTTCAAACAGTGGAACTGACAAATTGAGTTAGCACGAAATAGAGACATGGCAAAGTACAACCCTAAAACAATTCAGTGCTGGTAGGAATTAGTGCATTGTTAAATACACTGAGAAGCTGGTTGGAAGCGGAGCACAACCTAATGGGTCGAGCATTACTATTGCAGCTGTGTGAAACCACTCCAATAAATAAACAGCCCAGTGAAGAAAGTCTGCTGGATTTTTAAGATTCTCCTGGTTTAACAGGATATGCCAAGTCACTGTTTTCACTGTAGGCCAGATCCTTACATGCTTTAAGGTGCTTAGCACTGAGATGATGCTGGTTTTCACAGTTTGATAATCTGACCCCCAAATTAAATCCTTCTCATGGTTTCCCTGGGGATACCACTGTGAAAGGCTATACAGAATGGCACAGACCTGTCCACTCGGCAGCTATGGCAGAGATGTGGATGCATAACTGAAAGCAGGATTTCATTCCTCCTTACTTGGTGCATCCCTCTGGGATTGGTGCAGATTTTGGTTTTAGTTTGATTGTCATGGTGATGGTGGGAAGCAGAATTACTGATGGGAGAAAGCTGATTGGGGCCTTCTCTGATGCTTCCATTTGATAATCAGAGATCATTCTGTTTGGAATCATTCAGTGAGATTAATTGCTCTAAAATTATGCTTCAAATTCATATGCAGGAGACTTTTGTACTGCTATTGCTTAAGAAAAAAGCCCAGTGCAACAGACTGTGCATACTGTCTACTGGCAATGTATGGATATAGGGATTTATCTAAGTATATTACAAACCCCTGTTTTGTGAGAATGTTTTTGAGATACAAAGTAACTACACTTCTAGTGGTCAGCCAGGCTCACTGACCTATTTCTGCCTGCCGCATTTCTTTTTTATCTGAGCAGTGCCAGGCACGCAGGAACTCGTGACAGGAGTGCTGTGTGACTATGCTAACGAAGGGTTTGGGCTGAAGATTTGGTGCATTACTGGTATGGCCTTTCAGAGAGCTCTCTAGTTCCCACTGTTCCACCTTAAGTAAGCAGGAGCTGCCTGTGCCTCTCCTCTTTGAAAGTGAACTCCTAGATGTTACCTTCAGGCTTCTAGCTCTTCAGTTCAAGTCACAAGATTACACCTGTGCTAACCTGTCTGGGAGCTTTGTGATGCAGATGCAAAAACATCAGAGGAAGATTAATATAACCAGCCATTGATTTATTATGTTCTAGGAAGTAAGGGATAAAGCAGGCTGGCGCGGTGCCCTGAGCACAGCCTCCACGGTGATTTCTCTTGTCCTGACATACATCCACGAGCATTTATCTTGTCTATTCCTCTTCCTCTCCCTTTAGTTTCTTGAACTTCAGGAGTTTCTTTTGGCAGGCACGCTCCTTGCTGTTGCTGCTGCTGCTGCTGGAGCTGCTGCTGGAGCTGCTGCTGGAGCTTTCCTCTGAGCTCTTGGAGGGGAGATACTTGGCTGCTACCATGTCCTTCTTGTTCATTTGCAAGCAGAGGCAGGAGAATTTGCTCACCTTAAATGACTTCCCCCAAATATTCTGGCACATGTCAGTCCCATTTGTGTACATCTGTGTGTCAAATAAGAAATCTATCAATTACATTTGAAATGAATTAAGTTAAAACCAGTCTGTATCAAAACGAGAAACATTTATCAATTTTTTAGAACTGGTACTGGATTATAAAAAAGCAGCTGACAGTCATTCCCTGTCCTGCTGTGTGCTGTGCTTTATCACTTCTGAGATATCTTAAAATGTTATCCAGTCCCACAACTGGCAAAAGAGATTTGCCTGTTGTGAGAGCAAGTGATCACACAAAGTGCAAAGTGATCAAGAGCCAGCCCTTTGTTTCCCCCTGGGGCTGACAGCCCAGCTAGCTTTCTGGAGCTGACAGGCCAAAGCTGTGTGTGAGGTTGTACAACATGTAGCATGTCAGGTCACTCTGACATGCCTCTGGATCTGAGTAGTGCTTAAAGTGCCAGACTGTGCTTTATGGGAATCTTTATTTCTACTGTCCAGAAACAGCCCAGTGGAGTCACAGCTCCATGGGATCTCACTGTGCCTGCTTCAATGTACATCATGACCAAATAGGACCTCAAAAAGGGAAAGGTCATAACTTAGAAACTGCTTGAAGAAAATATGCTCTTTCCAAAGTGCTGTGTCCAGTGGTACAACGGCCTTTCTGGCTCAAGAAATTGTAAACCACAGCTTCTTCAATCCTACAATGTTTCTCTTAGTGCTATGATTTCTGGATGGTGTGCTGGTTTGCTGCCATTGCCAGTTCACATATGGATCTGACTCCATGAATCTTGGAGAAGGTGCCCTCTCTTTGTGGTTGGGGCATTTCTGCATAGAAGCTGCTCTATGTGCAAAAACCTAATGATTACATATTGAGGTCTATTATGTGGAAGTGGCCTGGGCATCTGTAGTCCTATAGCCTCTTCTGCTCCACCTATTTTCCACAACAAGTTCTTCTTATGAGATGTCTCCCTGTCTCCCCACATGTGAAACTATGTTGACCTATACTATGCAGAAAGGCAGTTGAGGAGAAATCATAATCATCACTTTTGCCTTAGAAATCTCTTCTTTGTGAGTAACACAGACTCCATTCCAGATAGCCCCAGAGACACTGTAGTATGTAAAACAGCTTTTCACTTCACATCATCTCGAGCCAGGGCTCACTCCATGGCTTCAGTTGCTGGAGGAGGAGTGAGGAGGTTGGCCTGTGCACTGTGAACAATGCAGGGCCGGGAATGGAAAGGTTAGTTTATCTAGTTCTCTCCTTGTGTTCTCAGGGCAGGCAGAGTGTAGCTGTTTCTTTCCCACTATTTCTATGCCTTTAAGCAGCATTAGACATTTTCTTCCAGCTCCTGTGCAATACCTGGGTTTCTACCTGCTAATCATTACAGAAAAAATTAAGATCTGTTATGCGGGTTTTCTTAAGTCTGTATGCAAGAGACATGGCTGGCTGCATTCTATTCTTGTGTCCCACAGGTTCTGTAACATGTTTTCATGCACTTGTACTTGCTAAATTGGTGATTTTATTTTGACCTTCCTCCTAACTCTGCTTAAAGATCAGAGCTTGGCCAGAAAGCTGCAGCAAATAAGCAGCGCATGCAGCCCATTTACTCAAGGTGTCCCTAAATTACTACAAAGGATTCTGATTCTTCACCTTCTTGGAAATTAACACTGCCTGGGGAGCATTCAGCTGGGAGAACAATGACAAAATGGGCCTCATTTTAGCCAGGCTCAAAGTGCTGGCTGTGATCCATTGTGCATTTATAATACTCAGCATTTGTTCCATATTCAGCATTTGTTCCAAATAGTCCTTACAACCACTTGCAGATGTCAAATCTAGGGCTGCTGATTGCTTCTCCATATGATCTGAGGGCATCAAAAGACAGTGATGATCTGCCCACAATGCTCTTGACACTGGAGAACCCATTGTGCTTCTGGGTAACTGCAACTTTCTCCTCCAAGCCAAGCAAGGAGGTGATCCTGCTGCTCTATTCTGCTCTCATGAGACCTCACTTGGAGCACTGTGTGCAGTTCTGGTGTCCTCAACATAAAAAGGACATGGAGCTGTTGGAGCAACTCCAGAGGAGGGCCATGAGGATGATAAGAGGGCTGGAGCAGCTCCTGTATGAAGACAGGCTGAGAAAGTTGGGGCTGTTCACCCTGGAGAAGAGAAGCTGCGTGGAGACCTCAGAGCCTTCAGGTATCTGAAGGGGGCCTACAAGGATGTTGGGAAGGGACTCTTCATCAGGGACTGTAGTGGTAGGACAAGAGGTAATGGCTTCAAACTTAAACAGGGCAAGTTCAGGTTAGATATAAGGAAGAAGTTCTTTACAGTGAGGGTGGTGAGGCACTGGAGTGGGTTGCCCAGAGAAGTGGTAAATGCCCCATCCCTGGCAGCATTCAAGGCCAGGCTGGACAGAGCCTTGGGCAACATGGTCTAGTGTGAGGCATCTCTACCCATGGCAGGGGGTTGGAACTAGATTATCTTGAGGTCCTTTCCAACCCAAACCATTCTATGATTCTAAGTCTAGTGTTTGTATATCATGTAACGTTCAGATGGGAAATGTGGTTTTTTAATTGCTCTGAAGGAATTATCTTCATCTTTATTCTGACTTCCCATGCAAGCCTGTTTTGGGTGAAAAACATGGGCAGTTTTGGGTGTGGTTCCATTTAGCTGAGGAAGAGCTGCGCCTGGCGTCAAGTGATAAGATGTCTGGATTTGCTGCCTGTTTTCCCCTGCAGATGGTATATTTTCTTTAAGAAATAAATAGAAGGGAATTCAAGGTTCAAAACTGCTATCTCTGGACCTTGAGCAGGGACTGGAGATTATTTACAGAGATTATAATTTCGGTTTTCACTTCATCTAGAACCACTTATAATTTAGCACATCTGGGAGACTCATCTGTAAGTTTACGCAGCCCATTTGCTTTTTGGCAACCTTCCTGAGCCTGCTGATCAGCGTCACTTTTGCAAGGCAGACAGTGCTAACTGGACTGTGACTTCCACTTGCATCAGTTGCTGAACTGACTTCTGGAAGTATATGCACTTGAATTGGACTCAAAACAATGAATCTGGGATCTCTGCAAGTCTTACTATCAGTCCCTAAGCACTATACTTCAATTTCATTTCATTCTTCAATTTGGACAGTTTTCATGGAGTCAGTGAAGTTCAAATATTAAAAATACTCAAGTTAAGTATAGCAGTTTTGAGCTGTATTATTTTACCTTGATGCTAAACTTGCTTGAGTCACTAGAAAAAATCCTACCTGACTCTAAATGTCTGTAGATCAGCCTTGCTCCTGTAAGTCTTGTCAGTTCTCATTTTATATACTTTTGCTCATAAAATCAGTTATCCCAAACATTAAACATTCTCAGAAAGATGGTATAAGCTCTCAGAAAGCTTGTTAGTGCTGCTCTTTAACCATCAGAGTTACGTAGAGCAAAGCTAGCTCTGCCAGGCCATTGGAAGAGACAATGGAGAACACATATTGGAGATACAAGAGGTCTATGGAGAACAAAAGGGAGACAGTTAGAAGAATGTCTTTTTCTAAGAAAGGAGGAATTTGGAGGATGGAGAAGGATTTGAACTAACAAAGTAAAATAGAGAAAAGGGCGAAGATGCCTAATAGGCAAGAAGACCATCAAAATTCCTTGGTAATTTGGGAATTTACATCCCAATCTAAAAACACAGAGGTGTGTAAAAACCCACATGATGTAAGGAACCTTATAAAATACCTCTCAGAATCTCTGTTGAACAAAGTTAATTTGTCTTTTACTTTCTACACCCCACTGTGGTTAAACATATCTGTGCTGCTTGAACTTCTAGTTTTGTTTCACAAGTGGTATGAACAATGGTTAATTAAACACATATATCCTTTGAGAGCTACATAAATATAAATGTTTAACTGTTTCTAAACTTAAGAAGTCTGATGTAGGTATGGCTTGAAACTGCTGAAGTAAAAATAATTCACCTATTGCATTTTACATCCATACACTCAGGAAAAAAGAAAGACCCCCTCAATGCCATTCTTTTCTGCTCCAGTTGATCAGGTTTTCTTACCTCACTGTACGGAATACATTTATTCCTACAGCGGTTTTCGCCACTTCGATCCCGTTCCCAGTCTGTCAGCCAGTTACGAACACATGTGGAATCATCTTTGCAGGCTTCATACCTTCATGGAGATTAGTGGAAGATACAGTTAATTTCTCTCACTTTTTTTTCCAGTGGACTCAGATTCAACTCCAAAAGCCTATGTGGGCTATGCCAGTAACATTGTATGGCTGCACAGTGCAGCTTAGCAACAGATCTTCAAAAGATATGCATATTATCTTAGCTTGACATGTATATAAACTCTGAGCTGTCTGGGAAGACCTAAATCCCAATGCAAACTAAACAGCTCAGTCACTACATTTTATACTCACAGACGTAAGTAAAGGACTCATGTTCTGAGGAGCAACACTCCATGCAGTGTTTTCTGCTGGTTTTGTTTGCTGATGTTACTGAGCAGAGGAAATAACTGTGTGGGGAGGGAGTCTGATGAATGCTGATGTTCAGTATTGTGACAGAGCACAGGTATGCTAAGAGTGGAGATGTGGGGGAAGTTTGTATTTATGAATTAATATGAGAAAAGAAGAATTACATTTCCTGGGCAGGGGGTTGCTATGAGAAACATGGACTGAAATAAGGAAAATCCACAAACAACAAAATCATAAAAATTAATCATCTCTCAGCCTCAGAATGGCAGTTTCAAAGAAGTTAAACTCGAAGTGAAGGAGGAAAGAGAAGAGTCTTGCAGGTTATAGGTCCAAAGTTTTAAACGTAGGTTGTTTTTAACTTGTAAGCAGTAATGTAAAATAAAAATGGCCTATAAATGGCCTGGGACGAGTATGGTTTGCAACTGCTTGGTTTGTGTGATGAGAGATCTCATGGCTTACCATTATCCTACATAATTTCCTTCCTTCCACTTCTTTTTATATTCCACTTTTTGGCTCTTACCTTTCTTTAGTATCACTTTCTACACATCGGTTAACATCTACTTAAATTTAGTCTCAATGGCTTCATGCAGACTATTCCCACCAGTAACTGAGAGTGCCAAAACCAGGAGGCACAGCTCTCAAAAAGTTAGTGTTGTTCGCACAGTATTTATAATTCATGCCTTTAGGGAGATTTTCTGTTTGTCATTTTTCATCTTCAGGGTCATGTTTCCAAAACTAGTTTGATATCATGAAGGCTGCAGACTTACATTTTAAAATGATATATGAGGTTGCCTTGTGGTCACAGAACTACAAGAACACATTGCAGTACACGTGCATATGCATATGCACATCCACAGAACCTTCACATAAGTCTTTTTGGAGGGAGAAAGAGCAGTAACAGATGGAGGGTAACCAGGGCCTGAACTACAGAGGTGTAGGGCAGGAGACATGTATTCTCACATGCGTTTATCCATGAAATTGCTGTCAGAGGTGGGGCTCCAATTTGATAAATTAATGTAATGTGGCACTACCAGGCAGATCTTACCAGTTTGTGCCATAACTGGATTTGGGACTAGTGACTGTAAGAATATCTGGTTTGTTGTTTGTTAGCTGCTGCATGTACCCTGACTGAGAAGGGGACACAGAGGTAAATCCCCGGTGTTTCTCTAACACTAGTCACTTTACCTGCCTGAAGGCACACCAATGTGTTAGGAGCATCAATGCAAACTTTTGTTATTCACCATCTACAAACTCCATATACCAGCATCAGATTGAACAATTGATTCTTCAATTGTCCTCCCTTTATGCATGCACTTACATTCATTGCTTTCTAGCACAGTCCATCATTATCTACTGTGAGCTGCCTAATACCAGCACTACCAACACTTGAAAGCAGTTGTGCCCTTCCTAGAGTCTTCTTTTATTTGTTTCCTTTTTTATTTGGCAAAGTGTTTTTCAGCCTGCTGGGTTCCCAGACCCAGGTTGCTTCATGGCCTCTCAGACAGTGCTGCTGGCACATGGGTGGGGACAGGGTAGGGGAAAGAATGCGCAGTCCTTGGGGCCGAGGAGAGGGTGGAACTGCTTCTAATGAAATTAGTGTCACCTTCAGTTACACTTTTCAAATTATGAATATGTATTTCAGAGTTTTGCTGAACTGGGGTGTTCATGTTATACATCTGGTTTCCTCAGAAATTTGAATTAAATATGTTTATTAAAGGATTTTTTTTTTCATTGTTATCTATTGAATTGTCAGATGAAATGTTTCCTAATTACTATTACAGCCTGACTCTGAGGTTTGTTATGTATCAGGTAGCAAGGCATAACTATTGCTCTGAGTTTTTGTTTATCCCAATGGAAGTAATTATGAAGCTAAGTTTATGAAAAGTCATGACTTCTGAAAAGTCTGTTTTCTGTTGCCCATAAGTGGTTTCTTCACATATTAATTAAAACCTGTGAGAAACAGAAACACAAATACGAGAAAGATTCTCCCTGAACACACCAGTTCTCTATGTACAATGAGCAGGATATTTTTATTTTAAAACTTCTCCCCCCCCTTTTTTTTTTATAATTAGCTGTTTCTCTTTTAGGGGCACAAGGCCCCATCCCAGGTAGATCAGAAAACGGCTTGTACTTGGGGCTCTTTGAAAAGCAGTAGTTTTACAACTAGTGGGAGCAAGAAATCCTAAGACAATGGGAAGAAAAGGAAGGCCCCGAGCAAGTCAGATGAATTTCTTTTAAATGAAGTCACTGCTCATTCAGAATCCTCTGCACATTTCTGGCCACAAAGACATACAGTATGTAGCAGGCACACTCACGGCATGTAGAGAAAGTAGGTCACATCACCAGCAGTGCTACAGCACGCTAAAGGGACTCCAGTGAATAGAACATGAAAAAATGTTACTTTCAATCACCAGAAAGAGTGGGAATTCTGTCCAGCCTCTTTTCTAGCCCCAGGCCTTAAGCAGGGTTAGAGAATGGGTTTGACATTGGCATTAGGCAGACACACAGACTAGCATGCACGGTACTGGCTCATCATTACATTTTTGATTCAGGCCAGGCATCTATGATGCCAACAGGGGCAATAGATCTTTGTTCAGCATTTGTTTAGAGTAGAGCCTGCTCTCTGCTAGGAGGCTCTGTACTGGAAAAGGATAACTTTTTCCTGTGCAGCAGCTCTCAATCACAGCCCCACATGCTTTCCAACAACAAAGTTAAAAATGCCATTTACCTGGAGGTTTTGGCAATGCCTGGGGGACAGTGAGGGCTTTGCTATGTCATTCAGCCCACACTATATGCTTTGGTATGAATCTCATATACACTAAGGCTGGCTTAAACCAGTTCATAGATTAAAACTAAACTTACAGGGTATATTTTCTTTCATCTTTACACTTTCACTGGATATAGCAGTTTGGTGATGACTTGTATGCTACTTACTTTGATAAGTTTGGTTTAGATATTGGTATTTTACTGCTTTGCCTGTTAGATCTATTCTAAAGCTCACTGGCAACTCCAATGATTTAATATCCAAATGCTTTCGAATTTTGGAAATATCTGGTTCTGAGCTTTGAGATTCTGAGCACTGAGGCAAATTCAAGGTCTGAGTCTTTATCTTCAAGGAGGTGAATAATCTGGATTCAGTTTAGAAGATTACTAAAAACTTTGTAAAGAAGTCTGCGTGTGACTAATCTGTTCCTGAGGCACCTGGAGCTTCCTAACACAGACATAAAATTAAGCACTAGAGCAAACTCTAGGGAACCTAGAAAATACATCGGCCTTTCTCACTATCTTACATTACAAATCCAAACCATGGTTCTTGTTTCTTTCTCTGGCACAAAGCAATGAAGACATATTACAGACAAATCCTACCACAATACTGCACTGCACACATGACTTTGCCCTTGGAGAGAAGGTGAGAGTGAAAATGGATCCATGTGTCAATAACCAAGATGTGTAACCACCAGGGAAAGCACTGTACAGAGCAGCGCGCTACCGTCTGTATTTTCTATGCTTCCAAGAAAAGCTCTTTCATAACATTTTTAGAAGTATTAAAACAGTGTTCCATGATTTTCAGAGCAGCCTAAGGGATTCACAGTTTACTACTTTCAAGGGATGCTAGCAGTTATAATGCTATAGTGTGAACACAGCCTGTGCTGTTTGTAGTATGCTTCACACCACTTTAACCATACTGTCTGTAGGTCCAGTTACTACAGTTACTAGGCGCAACATTAATATGGTACTGACTGAGCTTTGTTTGTCACATGATGACATTATTTAATCCATCATCTCAAAATAGGGAGGGAGAGATTTATGCTGGATATGGGCCACTGAAAAACTCTCAATACCCCACCTGGATATAATGCTCCTACTCCAAGACTAAGGACAGATGCATGCTGGGTTGTTCTGCTACATGTCTTGCACTGAAAAACTAATGTGATTCCCTTGTGCTATATTTTGGGAAATCAAGTAGTAATTAAATGCTTGTTCATTGCTATTAATATTTTTAGCATTACTTGGCTGTAAGTTTCTCTGAGATTCAGGCTTTTAGAAGTGATTTTAGAGAGAGGGATGATGGAAAGGAATAGAAAAGGCCAAAGGTGCAAAATTAAGGAATTAAGCTAATTTGTTATATGAATTAATAGAAAACATATGGGAAGTACCTGCTTTCATGATTGCATAGTGCATTTTATGCAAATAACTATCATATCATGATCAAGTATTTAGATTTAAAATGCTAACTGCACAAATGCTAACTCACAGGCATGGCCTTTTCAAAGGTTGAGCAGGGCCCTCACTGCTGTTAGGGCCTGTTGGCGTTGGGAGAGCTTTTCCATCACGTCAAGCATTTCGGATGCCACTGCACTACATCCTCATGGAGAGCCAGGCAGTGCTGACCCTGGGCCACTAGTGACTCCATCCTGCCTTCAGCCTGTGCCATTATTGTTTTGGGGGTAGTAGCTTAGCTGAGGAAAAAGTAGAGATGAGAAAAAAGAAATGAAGAAGAACAAGCAAAAAGGCATAAAGGTGATGACACACCATCGAATCTTAGTGCTAACTGACTGCGAGATCTGTGCTTCATGCACCCATGCTCCGTGACACCCTAGTAACACAGATGTATTCCAGCTAAACAAAAACACTTTGATAAAAAGCTGAACCTACCAGTCATCACAAAAGTTTTGACACAGTGGAACAGACTGAAGAGCAGCAGTGTAGCTGGGATGGATCCAGTGAGCAGCATATGGAGAACACCGGTAAAAGCACTCAATTTTCTTCATGAAATCTTCACAGCTGTGGTGGGTGAGAAAAGCCACAAATAAGCTTGTTTCTTAGCATCAAGGCTGAAGCCTCAGTCTTCTAGGCCTGCTTTGATGTGGATGCCAGTATACATAGAAAAGCATCCTTTCAGCCTGTTAGTGTCTAGGTTCCAAACTCATTCCTTTGGCATTGTATACAGACTCTGACTATGCAATTACCATGGCCAGCTAAAGAGTGCACAAATGTTTCCATGCATATTTCAGCCCTATTTGTGTAAGCTTTCTGTAAACTTTTGAGGCCTTGAGTTTCGCCAGCAAGAACGATTCCAGGCAATAATAAAATGTAGCTTAAAACTATAGCACAAAACCTCTTCGATGCTATAGCCTCATGGTTTCAGTGATCTTTAGCTTTTTGCACAGCCCAGCTGAAGTTACTTAAAAGCACGTACTGTTGTGCTCTTCTGGGAGTGGCAGGCAACAGCTGTTACTTTTGCACATCTGTTTTTGCTTAATTGTTTTGTACTTTCATTCTTTTATTTCTCTAACTTGCCATATTTCACAGCTCTAACATCTAACAGAGTACTTAAAATCTTAATTATGAAGACATCCTTCATGATTACAAAACCCACAGGACTACAAGAATTTTTATTTTAAATATTCACAAGTTTAATTTCTGGACTTTTGTGCATTTAGTTTGCGAGATTAATAACACAGTTGATCTGCTTTCTAAGCAAAGGAAGAAGCCTGGTCTATGTTGACTAGGGCTCACACTCATGTGGATGTGATGGTTGCTTTGGAGAGCTACAGAGATGTGATGTGGTCGTTACTGGGTTTATGACTGCTTTGCATTGCTGGATCTGGTTCTATACTGAAAGCAAACTTGAAAAAGCATATCCCTTGTGCACAAATAGTATATACACAGGGATTCATGGGCTTTTGTGAGAGAAGAGGAAGAGTCAGATATTGTTCAGGAGTAGAGAAAAGATGATAGGAGCTGGTGTAATTGCTAGGACAACCTGGGGATTGTCCATCCCACGGGGAGTTACCATTAGCTCTGTGGCTGTCACAGAATAGACCTATTGAACCAGGACACAGACAACATCAAAGCTGACTTACGGTTTACTGAGCTGCCCACATCTGTTCCAGTAGCTGTTGCTTATTTTAATTACTGGGGAACGAGCCAATTGCACTGTGAAGTCTGCATAGCAACAGGAAGCTATTAGGAATGAAACGGAGATTGTGCAATAAGGATTTTTTTTTAATACTGTATTTGTAAGTCACAATATGTGAGATGAATCTGTTTTGGTCTATAACACAATAAACTCTCTTAGTACTAACTAGAAGATGTACTCAACCTCTAATAACCTGTAACAACCTCTAATACTTTTTGTTTGAGAAGTAGCAGTGTAAATGCTCAGTGAGTTGGACAAGCATGGACAATGCTTTGTCAAGGTGTGCCCAGGGAGCCCCAAGAATTTTACTGGTGTTTGGCCAGATGTTATATCCTGATATACTTAATTTTGAAAGTTAACAAACATAAGAAGAGAGTTGAGGAAATGTAATAAATACCATACTTTGCTCACTATAGAATTTTGATTTCAGCCTTTCCCATTTGGTGTCTGCTCTTATTAATTAGTTCTTATACTTAATCACAATAACCCAGATTCATCTGGGCTATAAGCTTCTTTTAAGCAGATGGAGCTACAAGAAAAGTAAACTGCATTGGAACTTTTAAAAGAAAATAAATGAAGGCAGTGAAAGTTTTGCAGCTGACTTTGTGAAGAACAAGAATATTACTCTTGGTTTGCATGCAGCAATATGCCAACGAAGGAATCTTTTCATGCTTATACTGCATCTTATATATTTTTGAGAAATTAAGGGAACTGCTAAAGCAATCAGTGTGTACAAAGCTATACTTCTAAACTATACTTGGCAAAAACTAAACCACTCTTACATTTAGAGTACAGAGTGCATTCATGCATATTTGGCTCAGGACTCGGCTTCAGTTTGTGGGTGTCCCCTTCCAGGCATCCATATTTTTGGCAGGTGGATGACATTATGACAGCAAAGAGGATGACAGCAAACCTCAACATTGTTGTTTGGTTCTTTATCCTGTATGGAGAGAAGTTTTATATCCTGTTTTACTAGGAGAAGCCATAACATTAAAAGGAAGGACATATATAACCAAATACCAAATACATACATAACCAAATAAAATATGCTCGGCAAAGATTCACACATAAGTATTAAGCCACACATTCTCCTTTTCTCTTTGCATGCATGTGAACACTTACACTTTTGCTGTATAGTTTTAAGGTTTGGTAGCAAATGATAAAAAGCAGTTCAGGCTTTTTAGGAAAACGTGATACTTTTTAGTATTTAAGAAAATTATTTTGAATTTCCTATACTGACCTCAATTTATCTTTGAACCCTTCCAAAAGACATTCCTCTGTTTCACTAGATCTGAAGACAAGGTTAATTAGCTCTAAAACTTCCAGAGTTGTTTTGCACACTTAGAAATGACACATTGAATACAGCTGCAAGTGAGCGGTCAGCACCTGATCTGGATAAATGACATTGTTGAGGCTATGCTCATTCATACTTAAAATCTGATCCATTACTTTCTGCCTCTTTTGTAGCATTTGGTCAAACATGCAAGATAAAATGGTTTTGTCTGTGCAATAGACAATGTATTAGTGAGCCATTAGAACCTGTTACATAAATCAATGCATAATTATTTATACGTATCATTAATTAAACCCTTCATTCCGTAGTTAAATATTCCTGTTACCTTTTTGAAATAATTTTGCCTGAATAAGGACTGCAGCTCCTCTATGCACCCAGACTTTTCAGATACAAAGAAAACAACATGTTACAGAAGAAAAAAACCGTCTCTCCAGTTTCTCACCTCTTTTGCTGTCCTTCTGGGTGATACTTCCCGTGGAACAGAACACAATAAATTGCTTTTCTCATTTTCACTTTATATACACACCATCTGGCATCAGTGCTCCAGAATTTGTTTGCGCTGGAAGAGTTCCTTGACCCTTTGGAATGCTAACATAGATTTATCTGAAAAGCAGATGCAATGACCAGCACATAATGCCCTTTTATTTTTTACAACTGTCAATATGATAAAGAGGAAAGTACAAACATAGGTTAGAATTAGAAAAACAACAGCTCTCCTATATACCAAATACAACTAAACCCCTGCCTGATTTTTCAATGATTCCTTGTCTTATTGATTCATAGACTCACAGAATGGTTTGGGTTGGAAGGGTCCTTAAAGATCATCTAGTTCCAACCCCTCTGCCAAGGGCAGGGACACCTTCCACTAAGGGGCAGGGCCCCCTCCCACTAGAGCAGGTTGCTCCAAGCCCCTGTGTCCAACCTGGCCTTGAACACTGCCAGGGATGGGGCAGCCACAGCTTCTCTGGATTATTATTAGAGTATTATTAGATTAATTATTAGAGTATTATTTTATTATTATGTAATATATAATATAGATCAGAATATATATCTAATAATGAATTATTAGATTCATTCCTAAACCAGTTTCATGGGGCTTTTATCACAGATTAGGACTTCACTGAATTAGAGACATTAAACCCAACGCTTCATATTTCAGCCTCACCAGCTTAATTTTGACTAGAGGTATAATAACTTCCCTTGGCTTACACAGTAATTTTACTGCAGCCCATGGAAGAGAAACCATGTCTCCCGATTCTCAGGTCTTTCTTTGCTCTTTCTTCACAAGATCCCTTTAAAACCTGCTGCTATTTGCTATGTGCCTCTTAGGTACTCTCCAACCAGTGTCACAAGCACCACATGAAACTTACTTGTACCATTGATAATGATTCCTGGTTGGATTCCAGTGTGAGATCTGCTTTCTGCGAAGAGCATTCTGTATCTATCTGAACATATAGCATTGCATAAGGTAGATGATTACAAATAGTTGCATTTACTTTCATAAATGAAATCTCATTGAGTACTGTAAAGAGCAGCACTGCTCAGTGCCTTGCAATTGCTTAGACTCCTAAGGAAAGTAGCATCTGTTGGTTTTGTCTTTAAAGCAGAACACTGGTTTGTCAGATAATACTCTGGCACCGTTATTTACAAACCTTTTTTGCTTGAAAAAACAAATACTGGCACAGTGGAAGCTTGGTATGAATCTCATTAAGCAAACTCACTGAGCACGATAATAAAACAATCTCTATAAGCTATAACCACTGATTCCTGTCCTAGCTCTAGTAAATGCCTCAAGGCAAGAGTCTTCCTGGCCTAAAAAGAGCCATTTCCAGACCAGTGGAAACAGCAATTTTTATGTTCCAGAATGATTTAATTAAGACAAGTTTAAAGAATTAACTTAACTAAGGCAAGTTTAAAAAAAGCATAAAGTAACTATAGGAGAAACTGAAGTAAATCTAATGGCTTACTACCTACATCTTTACCTCTTGCAGTGTGATCTAGCGTTGGCTGAAATTCATGGAGCTCCTTTCTGATTTGTAATGTAAAAGATTGGTGCATACTGCTCAGCACTTGGATCTGTGTTTTCTTACACAAACAAAGACCACTGTATAACATGAACACTCACTTTCAGCATTGTGACGAGTGATAAAGCAGCCTGGTAAAAAGCACAGGAGTAGCACATGCTCTGTGCCTTGCTGCTTGGTTTGCACAAAATGTATGCACGCTTGTAAAGGTGTAAAGCATGCCAGGAGGTGTATTGTAATGCCTCTGTTCACTGAACTGACATACAAATTATATTAAGCTATAGGAAACTGGGATCTCTTTCAGGCTTTGAGCACAGCCAAATGGGACCACTTGCTGGGAGATTAGGCAGAGTTTCTAGCAGCAGGAAGGAAAATTGTCATATGTTTGTGATTTCTCAGACTTGGCTTTGGTTTAGCAATATATGTAAGCAGGCTAAGGAGCTTTTTGAGATCTCAGCTATACATCTTCATCACCTGAGAATCAAAACTTGGTTCTTTTTTCTTAAAGTATTCTCTGGCCACTTATTTTGTGGGATGCCTTATACCGAGAAATCTGCTGAAGGAAGTTTCTTACCCCTTTCCATACTTGAATGGGTCATTTCTTTTTATTCATTAAAATTGAACTTGTTTTGAAGTACTCAGTGATGTTCCTGTACTTTTAAGACTCCTGCTGCCTTTTAATTTTAACTGTATCAGTGTCCTGTAACTTCTATTCATCTTTTCAAGAGCTAAAGCATGTGTGATGTTAAGAGATCGCCACAGACAGCAATTCAGGCACCACAACATTTAATAATAATAATTATTATTATTATCATTTGATGATCTAATTGATAGTGGCCTATTTGCTGGTAAAGGCATGCATCTGTTCCAAGCCCACAGCACCGCTACACTCGGTCTCAAGAGCCATCTCCTGAGCAACTTCCTTCTGCCAAGAGTCATTAGCAGAAAATTAGGGGAAAAAATGTTTAAAAAATACAGCTAGTTGCAAACTTCCCAGCTTCTGGCAGTCAGTTTAGTGACTTTCTCAACTGACATGTCCTACTGCAGCTCAGTGATTGCTGTTTTGTGAGTCACATCTCTTTAATGACTGCACTAGCTTTTACGCTTCTATATTTCTGGTAACTCTGCAAAGCTGAGGTGGTTAAGGGAAAAATTGTTTGTACTTCCAACCAGTGACAACTGCCAGATCCATTTCCCTTCTTGGCATCCTGAAAGTGTCACAACAGCGTGACCGGAGGGAGACTGTTTCAGGAGCGTAAATTAGAGCATTTGGCCTGTTATAGCTCTATTATATATGGCAATGTGTGCTAATGAAATTAAGCTGTTTGCTCCTCATATGTCAGTGTGAGCCTGCATGCTCAGAAGATGGAAGTGTTTTACTTGTTCACTGTAACTAGATATGTAATTAGGAGCACAGGTTGTCTTCTAATTTAGTGAAGCTCCTTTCCAGAACTGCATTTAAAGTTGCAACAAGGGCACGTTATTTGATGATCAGTTAAGTATACATTCCTGACTTACTTTATTTCAGACTTCAGACCCACAAGTGCATGTTCACAAGTCTCTCTGCTGAACGTATCACGTCACAAGTCAAGCTGAATGCCAAAGGAGACACTCCAGATGGACTCAGTCTGGCGCTCCTGACTCTGGAAAAGAAAAGCTGAGGTCAAATCTTAACGCTACTGAATTTAAGGTGTGATTTGTTTCTGTTCGCTTTAGTGGGACTGGGACTTCTCCTTTTATTTTGTATGTGTGAGGAATATATCACAGCACAAAGTAAGGCTTACTTGCTTTACTTGAGTACAAAATGTTGCTGAGCTAGTTCTCCAGCAGGGCACAGGAATAACAAAAGCACCAGTAATTTTATATTACCAAGAGAGTGAGTCAGTGGGGGGAAAAAAGGCAGCTATTTTAATGACTAGTAGGGTTAAAAAGCAATCACAACCCAAACAATGAAATTATCACTGTAAAAATGTTTTTTAAGCTCTGTGCTAGGTTTTTCAAAACTAAAGGGTACAAAAACCTGCTTATTTTAGCTTATTACTGAGTTGAAAGCACCTCTTGAAATCATAACTGAATGCTCTTCCTTTGCCTTAGTCTCTCATTTGCCTTTCACATTCTGCTAGTCTGTTACTCTGAGGTTCCTTGAACCACTAACAATTACTGTTATTTTTCTTCTACAAAGCATGGGCTTTGGTTTGGGTAGCTACTGACTATGCTGTCCTATTGACTGTGCTGTGCTGCTGACTCTGTGGTGTGCTGTGGGCTCTCAAAAATGACATGGAAAATCTGGGTCCAGCTTGACCTATGCTCCAGAATGAACCAACGGCAACATCTTGTTTCTACTTTAGACTAATAATATTTGATTTAATTTTCTACAATCTCTTATGAATGATGACTGTCTTCTTAGGGGAGTATGAATGCTATTTTTTATTAGTTACGTTTTTGTTATGGGTATTTATTATTTGGATAGAGGTCATGTGCAGATGTCCATGCATCAGGTTGTGATGTAGTGTTTTAAAGTACTTGGTGGCAATGCTGGATTA